TGACAATTTTCTGAGCGTGATTTAAGATGAGAAGTGCCTGCAGCTTACAGTAGAGTTGAAGACCGGAGTTTGGTGATGATAACTCACCGAGGCGAGCATCCAGGAGGTCGGCATGAGATAGCATTGCGCACCGCTCCAGGGCGAAATGCTATTCCAAAAAAATCTCTACGACTTTAACCTATTTAAGAAATATATATAGCCTAAATGAAAGCAAATTCGGTTTGTGGTTAAAAGGGAGGTTCGTTGCATTATAATGTAGTTTAGAGAAATGGGGAGGCGCTTAACAGCGGAATGAACCCATGAGCTTCTCCAAACGAGGACCAATCAGAGCTGAAGCCTGAGGTATGTCAGCTTTAGCCCGAGAGCCCAGCAGCCCCCCAGCCCCCCCAGCCCTCCATCCTCCCGCATCCACAAGTTCATTCCTCCTCATTCCTGTAATTGGCTTTGATTTCTCCTCCAAATTACATCCAATAAAATAACCTGATTTAATATCTGTGTGAGGGCTTCGACCCGTTCAAGAAATGTTGGATCACACACAATATTTGTTTAATTGTGCATGCTGTTGTGCACTCGGACAAGAATTGGAGTCATTCATATGAGGAAGCCGTGGCTGCAGAAGCAGACACTACACTGAACTTAAGTCTCAAATGTGAAACTATTTATTATTATTATTATTGTTGTTGTTGTTGCCCTTTCTTCTTCTTACTACTACTTTTTCAGTGATGATATTCTCCACCTCTTTACGACAATAAAAGCCTCTCGGAGTCCAAATGAACCTCTTTGATTTCCCAGTCAACCAAACAACAAAGTTTGTCTGATTCTAACCGGCTCGTTTTCAAGGCCATTAGGCTTTTGTGTAATTAGTGCCAAATCTATACGGCTTTGTGGCAAATATCAGAGTGGAATCGGCACGAATTAATGGTAATTTACTACTATTTAGGCTCAACTGTCAAGAAGGGAGGGACTTGGTGTAAATGATGTGTGAGCAAATTAATTCGGCGGAAAGAGGAGGGAGTTTAACAGGAGCAGTGAAAGCTCGGCTTTGATAAAGGGACGCACTTAACACACCCAGAAGGCTGTGAATAACCTGACACCTGAATAAACACACCATCATGTTTAGAACACGTGGAGGACGGGTTTATTCCACAATTTGTCTAAATTAAGGTCATTTGTTTTCAACGAGACAAGAAAATGTTCTTAAAAATCATCCCACAAGCAGCTCCCCTCGTCGCCGAATAAACCACCATTAGACTCAATTAGCACAACAGCTTTTGTCACACACACACACACTCACACACACACACCAGTCTGGCAAATATTTAAGGACAAAAAAAATTCAGACATGGTTTAGACAGATGTCGGGACGTTTTGAGAGAGCAGGTTTATTTATTATGCGCTGAAAAGGTGGCACAAAGGAGGCGTCCGAGCGTGAACCCGCGGCTCGTCTGGGTTCTTTTCTTCAGTTTTCCGGGCTTCAATTACCTCTGCTCATCTTTTATTTGTCTGCAATCTGGTGGCACGACCGCCAGACAGGGAGGGATGGATGTAGTGGAGTCGTGTGCGGGAGTCTGTCCCGGACGCATCGGGATATGGAGGAGACTTCGTGTCTGCGCTAAAGTCTGCGTCTTTTTTCAAGGGAGGAAAAGAAGAAGATGCGCAACTGGAGATATTTCTTATCCTCTCTTTTACCAAGGCTCAAAATCTTTTAGAAGGGCTTGAGGTGGACTTTAGGGGCTTTTAGGCAGAGATTAGCAGATCATATGTGTTAGAGAGCTGTGTATTTCCAGAATTAGACAATTGTGTGTTATTAGAATTAAAAATGCTACAAAAGTCAGAGTATTTTCACTGTTTCTGTGTTTTATACAGCTTTTCCTGGCGCCCCGGAGCCCGGAGGATAATTTAAAATCATCACATCGCTGGATGATGGATTGCGCCCTTCGTTTTATGACTTTTCAATAGCCCAGAGCTTTTATAGCTGTGCAAACAGAAGTGAATGACTCCTCTCGGAGATTCAGGTCACATTTAACCCAAACTACGAGAGAGGAGATGATGAGATGTCAGAACGCATGAGGGATCTGTGCTACAGAAGGTCCTAAAAGCGGCAAAACGAACATTGTCTGTCGTTTCTACGTTGTGTTTAATATTTCTAAGTCGAAAAAGGTTGGTTTTCTTTTTTATTATTTGTGAAGAAATGTATTATGCCTTTGTTGGTTTATTGGCAGGTGTTTTGTGATTGCCCCAGACAGGGTGGGCACTGACCATTCAGTGAACTTCAGTAAACACATTTTAGGTTCTTTTTACACAATAAAACTGTAGGCTATCGAATGCATTGTACACTATTTATTATTATTATTATTATTCATATTAGGGTGACTGTTGTTCATATGACTGGCTGTTTGATAAAGTCCTCTCCCTGGAAGTTACTATTCCTAATACATGCAATATATTTAATTAAATGAATTCAAAACATCTGCCGGCGTTAACAGCTGTGTGTGTTTGTGCTAAAGCTCGTGGTTTTGCTGACCAGGCTGTGTTTAGGGTAAACAAGGACCAAAGCAGTTTGCTGCATTGGTCCTGTCCTGCAGATCACGATCACGTCAATATGATTAAGATACAAACAAATTCGCTCCTGCAAGTAAATGCAGTGTATCTGTGTGGAAAGTAAACATCTTCACGGGCTGGAAACGAGGATTGACTCTTAATAAAAGTGAAAAGGGGGGCCTCGGTAAATGTGTACTGGAGCTGCAGCTGTAGCCGATGGACACAGCACGAATGTGACCTCCTGCTCACATCAGCCTACAGGCTCTCAGCCACCAGGCCCGGGTGAGTCTCTGACCTTTGCAGCCTACATTCACTCAATTAGAGATTTCTGAGGAGAAAACAATCGATCCTCCATCTGCACAAGCCCCGAGTTTAACAAATGAGATTCTTGGAGTAAAAAGTTCCAGACAGAAGCGACAGCCGCCTGCGCTGCGTCCGACCAGCGGCACCAGTTTGACCCGGGCCAGTTCAGAGGCACAGGAGCCTTCACGGTACCGCCAGGCTCTTATTGCACCGCTTCACCAGCACCAGGACTCCAGTGGTCGACATTCCCCGCAGTAATAGCCTGTTTTAAGACTCATAAACCCGAAAGTACAATGAATTGGTTGGTCCATATTCTGTTTACTTAAATACTCCTCTGTAAGTTCTGCACTCAAAATCTGACAAACTGAAATCGTCTATTATATGCAAATGATAGTGAAGTGGGAGCTTTGACTGTGCGGTGTTAAAGAGCTAATTTAGCCCATTTTGTGTGAATTAATTCCGTGTGTTTATTTTAAGTGTAGAACTTAAACTGTCAATTAGATGCAGTGGAGTAACGAGCACAACATTTCTCCCTGAAACACTGGAGCAGAAGTATAAAAGAAAACTAAAAATACTCAGGTTCATGTAAATGCAGGCCTGTGTAGCCACTTTCTGCTTTGTCCTCCCATTATTCTGTCATTATTAGACTGAAAATGGCGTGTGATGTGAGAAGCGAAGAGGTCGAAGCAGTTTTACCTTTAAGAAGTGAACAGTAAAGCACTGGATGCTGCTCAGGAATAGTCCCACTGTATTAATTCTGGATCGAGTAGTGTTCGTTCACGATCCAGGTACATGCGGTTGATTTATTCCGTTTTATTGTGCTGAACGTTTCAGAATAAGATTTTATATAAAGAGCAATGTATAAAACAATAAGTAGCCTATTTTAGGTCATTTAAATTATCCGTCAGTACATGAATTGTTACACACCAACTTCAACTTAAACCGACAGCAGTAAAACTCTACCTGTGCATTTCCACGGGCCGCCCTGCTGCCTTGTACTGGAGCCTAATGTAAGAGACATCCTTGGTACCGGGCTGCTGGAGGAGCTCTGTGACATGGTTTTCCTCGGGTACAGGATGTGAGGACATGTGGAGACAGCAGCAGCCTGCGCGGCTCCTCTGGTCACATGCAGCTGTGGCGCCCCGCCGCTGCATCTCATGCCTCAATTAGCGCCGCTGCCCTCTGCACGGACTCGATTAGGCCGTGATTTATCCGACAGAAATATAATTATACCTCCAAATAAAATAATCTGCATTGAGGAGCGATTTCCTTAACGAGACGGAGCGGGGTGGATGTCACGGAGCAGCAGCGCCTCATTAGGGCGGTAATGAGACTTTGGGGTGATCCCGATAATTATCGAAATCTGTAAAATAAGGATCAAGTCAAATGTAACCTTAATTTGTCTGGCTGGCAATTCAGTTCATTTATTGGTACCTCTTTTACTTTTTTGGGAAGGACTGTCTCAGCCTTAATACAAGGTGTCTTCATTTTAGGCCATTTGGATGACAGATGTGCTGCAGAACAACATCTGGGTGTAGGAGGTGTCCTCTTTCTTGTAGGCATCAACACACAAGGTGTTCCACTGCTGTCAACAGGAACACCGGCAGTGTTGGTGTCAAAATGGTTACCTGTTTAATCCACAAGTCCATCCAAACAGAATAATCTCAACCAAATGTGATAATCAAGTGTTTTAATCCAGTTTCAAGCCAGAAATGTCAGATTCACAGGTTTCAGCTCAACTGTGACACTTTGTTGCCTCACAGCTGTTTTACAACATTGTAAACTGTGTTCTTGTCTTTATTTTCCAACTTGTTTTTACAAACTAAATAAATAATCGATTACTCAAAAGAATAATTAACTTATTAATAGAAAGTGTAAATGACGGGTAATTAAAGCACTTGTCAGTCAGTATTAGGGGGCGGCTGTGGCTCAGGAGGTAGAGCGGGTCGTTTCCTAACCGGAGGATTAGCAGTTCGATTCCCGGCTTGTCCAGTCAACATGTCGAGGTGTCCTTGAGCAAGACACTGAACCCCCCAGTTGCTCCCGGTGATGTCACCAGTGTGTGAATGCGTGAGTGCTTGGGAGTGCGAATGGGTGAATGGCCGAATAATGTGAAAGCTCTTTGAGTGTGTTGTAAAAGATAGAAAGGCGCTATACAAGGATAAGACCATTTATTCAGGGCTGCATCATCTTCAAGGGTTAAAGCCATTTAAGGTTGTGCGAGCTTCACATACAAAAGGAAAGCACAATGAAATGCATTTTTCTAAATGGTCACTTTAAGCTGTAGAACTTCTTCTACAGTGGTCTTGTGTTTTACACTGGTGAAGCGTGTAAAGCCCTCCAATGTAAAATGAACAGTGGACCCACAACATTAAAATGGTTACAACTACAGAAAAGACACCTGTCTATGAAGTCCAAACCGTGCATCAGTATGACAAATGAATTGAGGAAAAACCCTCCACTCCTCTACTGTAAATGAAGTGAACGTTCTATCGCATTCTTGTGGATTTTACACACAGGTGAAGCATGAACGAATGTGCTGACACGTTAACAGTCAACAGGAGAAATAATTACATCAAGAGCAGAGATTTGAATGGATTCAGTTTGCTGCCACGGTTCCAAACAAGGCCTGACAAAAGGAATGGACTAGTAGCGAGTGAATCTCACAGTGAGAACAGAAACAGATCAGGAATCATCCTTCAAGCTTCACTGAGTCCAATACGTTCCTAGCCTCTTTGTACTCCTCTGATTCGCCCAAATCCTCCTCTGTTTCCTGAAAAGACACAAACACACACATTGGTTCAACGCAACCATCTCCTGCACTCTCAATGAGAAATTACAACTGGCGTCCGAAGACTCCAAAAATCGTTACTTTTTTTTGTAACGATCAATGTAAAAAAACAAAACAAACAAACACACAAACCCTGTTTGGATGTCTCTTCAGTGTCAAAACGTCCTGTCTGGGGTCATATTTCACTCAGTATCATGTTACCAGGATCCAAATTTAGCAGCTAGAGGTTGAGCCGAGGGATGACGTGACTGTACGGTGCTCGTGTCCTTTAATCAAGCGAGTGCGAGTTCCTGTGGTCACCGCAGTGACAGCGCTGCTAATGAACGGTGATGAGCGTGTGCATATGCGCTTGTCTGTCTAAAGGAAGAAGAGAAGGGAGGGTGAGTGACTGGGAAGGGGGCATGTTGCTAATTCTAGGTAGCTCCTTGTGCTTACCACTCAGTTCTCCTGTGACTCACACCACCAGCTGCCCGACTGGTGCCCTGCATTAACCAAGGAAACACGGAGACACACGTGCTTACTGTACGACTGCTTCTCACCATTACGTCCTGAAGGGCTTAGCTCACCCAGTGGATGCACAGACAGACCAAAACATGGTTTACTGGTGTAAGTCGCTTCACAGTAAAGCTTTTTTTTTCTTCATACAGCCTGTGGGATTTAACCGAGGACTGAGATTTGTGCCACAATGGCGACACAGAGAAAGATAATGTATTCTGACTCAACTCGTCAGTGTGACTACGAGTATAAAGGCTCTGTGTGTCAGCACACCAACATCCTAATGTTTACATGCTCACACTCTTAGTATGCTAACATTTTAGTGCTAAATACAAATTAAGTGGTGAAAGGACGACCCATCACAAAGAGTCTCGGTGAGGTGCTGGGACGCCACGTGCCACCAGAGCAGCTCCACCTTGGCACTGTCTGTCCATGTCCCTGAACCCTCCTGGAGGGATGAACACCATTCTTCCAACAGATGTTGCCTCATGCGGTGCCTCTGACTGTTTTGTTTCCTGCTCCCAGGGGCCAGCCTCTGACAGTTTGTTTTGTTTCCTGCTCCCAGGGGCCAGATATGACTCATAAATACTTGTTTACTTGGAAAAAATATTTACTTTTCTGTAATTTCTGTTACTGCTGTCTGTAAGGTTTTAATCAGTCGAAAGGGCTTCAAAGCTGACTTGGAGCTGCTTCCTATCCAATACAGAAAGAAACAGGACCCCAACATGCGCTGTGTGAGGATGAAGAGTAGACCATGTTGTGTGATACATGGGCTAAAGTTTTGGGTAGACTTGCAAAACATTGGCACTTTGCAATTTTTCAATAAGACCATAAATTAGTAACAGCAACAGAATAAATGGATCAACAGTTTCAACGCTTCCACTTTGTGGAGACTTCAGGTGTTACTCACCAATAACTGAAGCAGATCTGCGTGCGCCACAGCGAGACGCCGGTGGCAGTCAGGGATCATCATCCTGCACTCTTGCAAAACCTCCATCTGAAACCACATCAGTGCCACCTTAATTAAATCAGCCACTGCTGTGTTACCATTTTTCATTACCTTAACAAGAATCAACACAATATTGAACAAGTATTTTCCAACACTGGAACATTAATTTAAACAGCCAGATACTGTGCATAGTCATTCAGAGCATTTCACCGCGGACGACGACGTGCGGGGTGTCCCACATACACTCTGCTGTGGTTAACATCTCCCTACAAGCCAGCAGTATGAAAAATGTTATTGAGTTATTGATCGGACAGGGAGTCGGGCAGCGGGGGACCACCGCCATCTGACTGCACACCTGGATGAATGAAGGAACCCTGAGCCGAGGGCACTGAGATCAGGCGTAAAGAGGTATTACTACGCCTGGAGGGAAACTGTGTTCCAGCCTGAGGAACCTTCACAGCCGTGGCTAATGTGGAATTCCCCCAGCAGGCACCCTAAAGAGCAGAGAAGAGCTGGCTAACGCTGTCAGATACACTCACTCATGACAGCTGCTTCCTCACCTAGCCCTTTGTCGAGCTGGAAAGTCAAAACATGGACGCAGCGACACGCATCAACATCGCACAGCAGTGCACACCAACAGGCACGCAGATGAACTTGTACACAGGCAGCTGATACACTTAGATGCAGACAACTAGTGGAGCTGGTTTCCATCTCGATGTGACAAGGTGAGCCAGGAGTGCTGAGACAGAGAAAAGTCACGGTGCCCTCACGGAGCAGTGGAATGATCCCATCAGCGCTGGAGAAAGATGACACTTACAGCGTATTGATTCCATTAAAATAAAAACCTCTAATCCATCCTGCCACAGACCTCATCTCCAACCATAATCCATCTGGCCTCCCAATCTCCCCATTTAACACCAGCCAAGCCTGAGCCTGAGCCACTGCGCTTTGAATGAACAAACAAGACACACACAGAATTTTAATGTTACCAGTAAATATAATCAGATGTGGTGTCTGCACTGCAGTGCCTCCCTGTCTGAATTGTGTGGAGCTGAAACCTGTATTAACTGAGACCTGGTACTCTTGCTGAGAAGACTGGTGGACCATGCCCACTGTCCATATATGCAGCTTTTTTGGGAAACGGTGCATTTATTATCAGTGATACTGGGTTCTAGTGTGTTTCTCTCTCTTTGGAGATACACCTAAGGGTCATTGCATCGTTCATGCTCCGGCTTCTGCAGACAGGTGGACCCAGCTTGAGCCTGGTGAAACTTGAAAACAGGGTGGTCTGCAGCCATGCAGTGTAGAAGAACCTCCTGATGATTACCTAGTAAGTTCCTCGGTCTCCTTCAAACTCACCTACAGCTGAATTACAGAATAACAGAACTTGCTTATAAAGACAAGAAGGCTGAAGCAACACAGGTTATCAGCAAAAACAACCGAGGTACAGTACACAGTGGGAATAGTCACTATAGAAGTTTTAGCAAAAATGGTTTCCTCTGCAGCCTTGGAGACGAAAGCGTGGCTTATGCAAGTGTGTACCGACTGTCACAAACATTGTGCACACACACACACCCACAGGGGAGATGCCACACAAACCACTGTGCCGATTATGCTGAGAGCGTTAAAGTAGCATCCGCGCCCTGCAAATCTTTATGGCTACAAATAAACAAATGTCTGGTTGGTTTCAGAGAACTGTCCGTCACCCTACAACCACAGAGAACAAAGGTGAACACATCTACAGCCATGTCCTGTGAAGATGTGCTATGAGCTAAATGCTCATAGCAGCAGAGCGTGTGAGAGGGCGGATTTTGGACAGAGCACCGAGCAGCTTTTTTAAAAAGGAGGGAGCGTCATCCTATGTCCCGCCACAATTTTGCTTCAGTACTCCTCACACCATGAGCCTGAAGCATGACCAAACCAGACCCAGAATCTGTCTTGCAGTCATCCAACACTTTTCAATCAAAAATCGGTTGCTACAAGCTCAATAACAGAGTTCCTAAAGTACTTTAAAAGGAAGCTGAAAGGTCATACAGGTGTACTGTATATATTTATTTAATTAGGCCCATTGAATCATTTAATTTTATGACATTCTGTGTTATATTCCTTGTTACACAGGCCTAACTGTAATAAATAAACCATTTTTATATATATTTAAAAAAAATGTTGTTGGTGTTCTTCAGTTTTTTTTTTTGGGACACAAGGTTTAAGTATATGGTTTAAGCTAAAAGTGAAATACATGCAGATTTTTTTTGTCCTTTATTGGAGTGTGTGGGTGTGATCTGAGTGGAGCGGGATGCAATCCGAGTTGAGCGCTGAGCGATAATGAGCAGACCGGGGAAACAGCTCCATGAGCGAGGAGTGTAAAGTCTCATAGCTCCACTCCACTGGACAGAGACATTTTTACCTGATGATGCTGCTACATGAAAAGGAAAGGGATCAATAAAGTGGGACATTAATGTGTTGTGTTACCACCAATGTCTCATGTAGCATTAGAAAAAGAAAAAAAAAAAAAACAGGGGACACCAAAATCATTAAGATCCATCCCTTCTCATAAATGTCTGGACAAAGATTCTTGACAATCCATCCAGTGACTGGACCAAAGTGGGGGATTCACACATTTCCATCCAGTGACTACAAATACTGTATGAAATGGGGTTGTTCCTCCCAGAAAACACAAACTGTTTTAGTTTTTCTTTGCAGTTTCTTGGTTAAATTTGAAATGGTTATAAAACCAAAAGCATAAAAAAAAACATAGAAATATAACAAGTCATTATAAGATAGTCATTATTCAGCGTGCTATTAATTTGATAATGTGTCACACAACTTTTCAAACCCCAATTCACCGATGCACAGGCTAATGGTGGGAGGCTGCAGGCACCGCGAGAGAGGACAGAAAGTAGGACACAGGACACTCAATGACCAGCATGTGTCAGTACTTATCAAACTCTTCTTGCATCTGCATCGACTTATGAAAGCATCAAAGGTTTTCTCAAAACCTAATTCTTCACTATGACGTGGACTGACCCCACCAAATGAAATACTCAAATCGTCAGGATACAACTCACTTCCTGAGTATGGGGAAGTAAAAACCCCTTCAGTCACTACAGGATCATAACAGCTGGTGATAAATGGATGACGCAAAGTTTTCACATCAAGACCTGTTACTGTTGTGTAGAATCAGAGAGGAGAAACACACCTGCTTCTTGATGACGTAGACATCTCCTCCTTCTGCTTTCAGGTGCTCGATCTTCTCCTCCTGCTGCTTTGTCTCAGTTATGTACGAGATCTTCTCTTTGGCCAGCCTGCAGAGAACAGGACAAGAGGACAAGACAGTGCACAGGCATGAAACATAAACGTGCAGCCTCCCAGACAAAAAATACAGGCTGTCATGGTCACCATTTACAGACTAGACCATCTGTTCTTGTTCTCCCCAGTGTTTCTCTGACTGAGGGATGAGATCATCTCCCCCATGATGGCAAGACACACACCTCAACAACTTCCAAACACATAATCCCACCTCACTGCTGCCAGGTGTCACACAGTACTGGCACAAGAAGAAATCATGCTTTGTTATGGAACTCAACTTGTATACCGTGACCTAAAATCTACTGAGGTTAAGATTAGGACCTTGAATGAAAGATGTTTCATATCTGGAACAAATCTTCATTTCTACAATAAATACAAATAAAGTGAAGCTGCTGGATATCAGACACTGCATATGGAACAAAATTCAAATCAGCTATCTGCAGATTGCTTCAAACAACAAACTGTCATAAAACACATTTAAGACAAAACTGACAAATACATGTTTTTTTTTAAGGTAGTTAACACTGGCTTTTTAGCTCTGTTTTTGGTCTCCACCACCTCCTCTCTTTACCTGCTTCATGCTCCACCAGCTGGTTTCTGCCTGCAGGTGCTGGTTTTTTAAAGCACTTTCCACTGAAAACAGCTGTGGCGACAGGACGATATAAGAATGTACCACAGCAGTACAGCTGTTTGTCTGGGCAGCTAAACAAGAAGCTCACACTCACTATGAAGCTCTGTCAAACTGAGGTACAGAAAAAATATAATTGTTGTGTTCAGAAAAACAAAAAATATGTGCCGATTAAAAAAAACTAAACAAAACAAAACATGACAAATCAACACATCAGAGGTGCCACCTCTGAAAATGCTGCTTCAGGGACAGCTGTAGAAAACTGTGGAAAAGGCACTGCACAATTTCCCAGAAATTCAAGATGATATTTTTAAACAGTTTAAAACCTAAAGATTTACAAATTACAATTACAGGTGATTCATTTTCTAGGAATCAACTAACTGATTAGTCCTTTCAGCACTAATTTCATGATCTAAAATCTAACATAACATTCTACTAGTAATGATGAGCATGTTCCAAAACATCAGACTGTGAGAACACAATCATATTAAAATTTAACCTGTTTGCCTACATGCTGTGTATTAATACATGTGACCCCTGAATTCAGAGAAATCTCTGGCTCTTACTGACCTAATTTCATCATTTTCTTTATGCCAAAATATTCGACACAGGCTTCCTGCAGTGTCAAATTCACAACAACATGATTACCACAGTACTAACAACACTTTCTTTAAAGGAGTTTGATCAGTATCATAAAAAACATCACTGAAACATTTTTATCATCCTTCTGTAAATGAAGCAAAACTAAATGTTGATTTTAATTGCACATAAATCGGTGACAATTTGTTTGTTTTCAAGCCCAAACTGTCTTGTTCCAACTTTGTGTTTCTCTACTTTTTCCTGTGTGGAGCGAACAAACACAACCATTTGATTTTGCTGTTCACACCATCTCACCCTGCTCATCAGACGCCTCTATCCTCACACATACACCCACAACATTACTTGTCCTTTTTTAAGAGATTAATTGAGCATCAATTTAGTCCCTAATTTGGACCAAGTCAGGTGGTAAATGGGCCTCTTTTCCTTGATTGTTAATGAAAATGGTCTCGAGTACATTGATAAATTGATTATTTATCAATTACGAGCCAAATGGAACCAAATCTATTAACCAGATTCCGACCCTGATTGGGATAATGGAGTTTGAAAATATCGCTATTGATAATGATTCTCAACTAATAGTCTTTTTCCGTCGGCGCCTGCTTGTCAGAATGACAACACAAATTTCATTTTTCATAAAATCAACTGTGTGTGCGTAACTGAGTGATCCTTCATTAATCAGTCAAATTACTGGAGACCCTTCCCTCCGTGTTGCGCTGCTCCTTGCTTAGCCAAGGAAGCCAACGGCACTCTGTCAAATTTTACATCAATTACCACTCATTCAACTACAGCTCCATCAGGAAGCTTTTAAACAGCCACCATATGCAACGTCTGATGCAGAATGAGTGATGTCACCTGTTTGGAGTCAAACACAGGGGGGAAGATGGAGGAAGGAAGCTGGAATAATTTGAATAAAACTGAAGGACAGTCTAATAACAAAATGTCCATTCCTCCCCTTCCAGTCCTGATGTTAATTTCTTATTTCTCACAGACTTGGAGCACTGTATGAATGAGGGGTGGGGTCGTGGCTGGTTTTAAATAGACCTGCCACCTCTGGCTTAATGGAAAAGGCAGCTCTCTGGAAAATAGAAAAAAGGGAATTAGAGCCAGCCAACATACACACATTCGACCGCCTCTTCTAGCACTGTATTTTTGAGCCACAATGTAGTCTGTGCTGGGAGCGGAATGACAAAGGCAAATTACTGTTGTAATTTTATTAAGGGCATCCGCCTCGCTAGGGCAGAAAGGCACTGACTGGAATGTGCAAAAGCTACAGGAAATAGGCCTGGCTAAAAGAGCAGGCAGGTTTCCTCTAAAACTCCAATATATGAGCAGGGAGGAGGGTGTGAGGAAGCCAAGAGGGAAGAAAAATAGGAAGGGGGCATGAAAGGACGACTGGATGGGAGGGATATGCAAGTATGAAGAGTCTGTACATATAAACCCGACAACTTGATTAAGCCTTCATGTCATGGTAGTACTTTTTGGCCTATAGAGGGAGTGAAATAGTAAACTCAAAAACATCAGCACAGTAGCTGGGGACACAGTACTGGGACTAGTGCACTGTTGTTTTTCCTGCTGTGACATTACCCTCCGAGGGAAATCCAGCCTCCATCATTACCACATCAGGGAGCCTGTTAGTAACGTGACCCTCATCAAAACACAATCAATAGCACATTACACAAACGCCACTGACAGGAGGGAATTAGATCGACCATCAAATACACGACTGTGCTGATCCCATTACCTCAACACACCTCATAAAATCAACAATATTTTCTATTCCAACATGGTCATTCTGAGCTGCTGTACAAATTTAGAGGTAAGCTCAGAATGGGTGCCAGTTATAGTACTAATAGGTCCCAAATCAAATGCAGAAACTAAACTGTTATACATGAGGAGCATTTTCCAAGAGACAATGATTTAAGATGGTAAATTCACAGGCTACATTCATCATCCACTATGGAAAAAGAAAGTGAACTGAACATAAAATTATTTGAATTAGTGAGCACACACTGGGCTAAAGCTAGCCCCAGCTAAAGCCAACTCTCCTGACAACCCCAGATATCTGTACATGGTGAATGTTTGTAAACCCAGACAGTCATTTGACAACACTCACCCAAACTGTGAAGGTATTTTCCAAATCCTCATCCACTCTTCCAACCATTCAGATTCCAAAAACAACACAGTATGGTCCAGAAAAAATATAATTTTTAGCTGTTTCCAATGCAATGCTATTTCTTTTCCACATAGACATTTGCTTTGTTCAAATGTCAAGCACAGCGCCACTGCCAGTGGTCAGGGTTCTGTCTTCACAGGCTCCATGCTTCCTGTCCACAGAAACACCTGCTTGGTCTCCTGCAGAATTTGCAGTGTAATGCAAAATAACACATTTGTGTCATGTGCTGTTTTTGTTTTGTCGGTTTGTTTTTGTTTTGCCATGTGACACAAAAACATAATATGTGTCACCTGGCACATTTTTGCAGGAGTCCAAATGTTTATGTGTAGAGAAACATGTTTGGTCCAATGCATCAGCCCATCAACATATTAAAAGTGAGATATGCCTATGTAATTAACATCAAACACAATTATTTATTTTTGGGAAATAAATCAAATCTGCAAAATCTAATACAAAAGCTCAGCCATCAATTCTACTTTTAAAAGGATAAAGTTTACCTTGATTGACACAGTATTAATTTAAATGTATGTTTAATTTTAGTTTGCTGTTGTGCTGAAGTGAACTGTACTTTATGTAGAGGGGTTTTTATAATGCTCTATTGTCCCCATTTCCAAACATGAAGAGAAATATTATAAACACATTTCAATAGGATATAATGAAGTTCAGAATAGTCTCAACAGTAAACAGAATTACTTTTGAAACATCTCCACTTTACTTTTTGTACCTTACCCTTTTACACAATACTGTACAAACTCAGTACTTGATACTGTCCCACATGTGAGGATCTACCACCTAGGCCATACTAGCATGGCGCAGTAACTCTTACATGCCCACAAATGCCAACATCAATTTACACTGGGGGGGGGAGAAAGTCTTGTAATATAGAAATAAAAACCGAACCAGTTAATCCCCTGCCGTGTTAAAACGGCAGCGTATCGTTAGTTTGCTTCACATTAGCCAAGATCAGGCAGTTATTAGTCAAAGGTCAAAGGGTTTATTTGTCATATACGCAGTTAGGGAACGCGTTTCCCTGTACAATGAAATTCTTACTTTGCCGTCCACATGAATGCCACATAATACAAGTGAAATATAAAGTAGTTAAACAGTATAGGTGTCTCTGCAGCTACTTATGAGATATGTTGTATTAACAACTACTTAAGTACATAAAATACAATAAAGGTGTAACGTTGTGTTATTGTTTGCCGTTGTCTACCATCAGCGTACACGACAGTTGCAGCGTCATTATCACTGCTAGCTAACTAGCTAACAGCTAGCATTAGTCGGCCAACTTTAGCTGTTTCTGCACGATAACATTTTACATATTATTATTAAAGTGTAACACAGGTTTCTACGGTGAGCTTGTACTATTACACCAGAGGCTGTAGCTGGGTGCTGTCAAACAACAATGAAATGAAGCTACTGCAAACAAAAGAAGCTGCTTAACCATCTAGTCGATGCCCACAGGCCGCGCTAAATCACCACTGTAAAGTTGAAACCCTTGGAACAAACACAGTCAATTTGCGGCTTGGTTTAATGTGGAGCTGGCGTCTCTCTCCGGCTAAGCTAATTAGCTCGCTATCCTTATCCTAACCCAAGTACATTCTATAACTGGGGGTAAAACCATCCTTACCTTTTAACGATGCCAGTTTTAATCCTAATTTGCCGTATTCTAGGATCCGCCATGGCTAAAGATAATGATTGTTACCCGGTTGTAGTGTAATGCGTCAGCGGTGTGTGCAAGTGCAAGTGGAAGTGGAAGTGGAAGTCAGGGAAGACCAGCTGATCGCAGATAAATCGATCTTTTGATGTAGATTATCGAGTGTTTTGATCAGAGGGACAGACTCAGTAGGGTTGTCTTGCAATTAGCTACTTTTATACAGTGGTGAAAGAATATCCAGAAAAGAAATACTTCTAAAATACCCTGATGATAGATAGATAGATAGATAGATAGATAGATAGATAGATAGATAGATAGATAGATAGATAGAAAATGGTTTGAGTCTGCTCTGTCCATATATTTTACACATATTTATTAGGCCTGCACCTGGCTGCAAAATATTTCCCTCAGATATAATAAAGTTAGTCAAAATCTGTCCATCCGTTTGTCTATATCTATTGGTTGATTAAAGTGTGTCTCCTACCTTTATGCACATTGGTACTTAGCTGACAAATGTCCATATAATAGGCAATTTAAATAATGACTATTTTAAATACAATTGCAGCAGCTGCTTGCCAATCTTGGATCATTAAGAAAACATGGGATATGAAATACATGCAGATACTCAGGTATCCACACAGATCAGCTTTCCAGATGATGGTCTTTCATCAAGCTCTAGAAATTAGAAACTTGTGGGGGGTGCACTTATACTTGAATTGAGTGGTTATATCTAACTGTTATTGATCTATTTTTGCATTAACTTGTCCTTTCACATTTAGTTTCAACAAGCATTAAACTCTATATACAGACTAATATTTGACACTATGTTAGTTAAGGTTATATGGGCCTCAGAATAAGCCCCTTTCTTTGTTTACACAGTTTATCACTTAAGCTAAACAATTGACATGGCTGTGTTACAAAGACAGCACATTCAATTTCATTTGAATCTTTGTGCATCTGATATTGATTTGTCTGATCTATGAAAAAAGAATCTATTTTATATTATTATTCAAAGCTTTTTGTGTCAAAAATATATATTTTATTGTAATCAGCCTTCACCTTTCCAATACCATTAAAAGTTTAGGTTGCTCAAATATATTTTTGCACAACAGCTTTAACAAGGCTTTTCTATGACAACACAATGTTAAAAACACAACTTAAAGGTCTTACCTGCTCGTCAGAATGGATCATACCAACATAGCCTACAATACATTTTCAAGTCAAGGGTGGAGGGAAGTAAGTTTGTCTATAAGGAGGAAATGTTTCTCATATAATAAAAACACTTTCTTGTAGCATTCGCAATAAAACCCATCCAAACTGTGTTAAACATATACTCATTGTTATGTTTTGTCATATAATTTGAAACATTCTTGGCATCCAGTGACTGTGTGGTGCTCATGTTGTCATTTACCAGCTGTCAAAATGAAAAGGTTAAAGGTGGAGTAGGGGGCATTAAAGCAGTCATCAGTGTTGGGCTTGTGCTTCATTCCTGAATACAGTATCAGTGCATTCAGACTGGCTCATTTTGTTCAGTGTTTTCCCATATCAGCCTCCAGCTCAACTAAAAATGAAGTATTGAAATGAATGAATGTATAGTGTACACATTGTGATAACTCTTATATTACATTTTTGCACGAATATCAAAACAAGCCATATTTTGGAGGGTTAAAATAACCATATTTATATGTTATGTGTCTTCAAGCTGTAGAAGAAGGACTGTACATGCATTTCTATGTTTTGGCCCCCTTAAACAGTATCTGACCACGTGCCTTCATTGTTTTCCCACCATAGGAAACAATTGGTTTCCACTTTTATCCATGTGAAACAGGATCATAAATAACTTGAGTTAAGTGACAACTTGTCTGATTTTACTATTATGCAGACTTAAAATCAGTTAGCACTAAAATTAAATACATCTTTGAAAACACAAAATAGAATTAGCCATTGATTAAGTATGCCTACATTACAGATGAACATTTTGCACAGAAAATCAATAATGCATTCATAAAAATATTCCAGTAAATATTAATCACAGTTACAGATTAAACTACAAAACATGCAAAGCATTTATAACTGAAAAACAGCTGAATCTACTGCTACTGATTAAATACTGCCTAGTAATGCAGCAGGACAAATAATACTGTGATCAGAAATATCTTGTACAATAACAGAAGACTGAACCAATCTTAATGAATGTTCACTTTAAATACATTTAGCTGATCATTATTTGGTATTACTATGGAATATTATATATTGATGTATTGCTGCTTGAATGTAATCCACGTCCTCCCCCCAAAGTGCAGATGTTTCCCAGTTCAAACTCTCCAGATCCACTGGTACAATAAGACCAATAGCAGGATTTCGCCTTAATAATTGTAACGAGCTGCTATTAATTTAGATTACACCAAGACTAAATAGGTTAACATAAGAGGGTAGAAACCAGTTAATTCTCTCTGTAACTGAAACGATCTAATGATGTTAGATTTGAGACGTGTCGCGCATTAATGCCAGTCATTATTTAAACAGTTTACTCCAACGCTAAAGACATGAGTTCGTCTAATATATGCTTCTTTCTCCACATGGAGGTTTGTGTGTGCGAGTGGACTCCAGGCCTGCAGCAGCATCTGAGTGTTGGGAAAACCCTGGGCTCTTTCCCCGCAGCATCATGGCCGTTGATTATTGGTATTTTCCGAGTTTTCCAAACTAATAAGTGGCACTATCAAGCATTTGGAAGCGCCGGGAGACTACAGACGGGCTGCTAGACTTAATTGATATTGAGCGAGGCACTGGTAAGCGCGGACGGGGCCGCTGCTGGGTAATTTGCAGTTTAATCAGCGTTTGTAATGAGAGCCGCTGATTAGCGCGGGGTGGAAATAAAAGAGAGTTACAAGGAACGTCTGTCAGAGTCCGGTGATAATTCACGAGTAATTGTGATGATTAGAGCAAACTGGATGACTTTGGAGTTATAATGCGTTGCCGTGCCTGTGCGTGCGCGTGCGTCTCTATGTGCACTTGTAGTCTATCTGTGTTGTTTGTCAGCACGCATGAGTTTGTGTGTGCGTCTTTGCTAAAAATCAGATACCAATTCAATTTGACAGTTTCCTCCATCAGAAATAGCGTAAAGCATCTGCGCGTGTGTGTGTGCGTAACAGTGTGTGTTTGTGCCTTTGTATTTCTTATATTATGGGGTCCGAAACCTGTTAACACACTCACATTGTGGGGACTCGGCTTTCTAGAGGCTGGTCCCCACAAGGAAGACACTGACTTTTAGGGTGGCAACATGGTTTAAGGTTAGAGGGAGGTCAGGGGTTAAGGTCAGGATACGTGTATAGGAAAGGGTGTGTGCGCGCGCGTGTGTGTGTGTGTGTGTGTGTGTGTCGGGG